TCGCTCCTGTTCTGCTTTTAGCTCATATTCTGCTCATTTTAGCTCATGATTTGCTCGTTTTAGCTTGTTTTGCTCTTTTAGCTCATATTCTGCTCATTTTAGCTCATGATTTGCTCGTTTTAGCTTGTTTTGCTCTTTTAGCTCTTATTGTAACTTATTTTAGCTCCTGTTTTGGTGGTTTTAGCTTGGGTTCTGGTAATTTCAGCAGATTTTTGAGATTTTATTTAGTTGATGATGGTTTTATTCTCAGGTCCGTTTAAAACCGTCTGTTTGGTTCTGATCCTCATTGACCTCAGGTGTCTCCTCCTCCTCCTCCTCCTCCTCCTCCTCAGTGATCGACCTCCTCAGCCTGCAGGACTCCCAGCAGGGCTCGGCGGCGGCGGCGGTGCAGAAGCTGGCGGGCGGTCTGAGCGCGCTCAGTGACGTGTACCTGGTGTCCACCTTCAGGCTGCCTCAGAAGATGGGCGGAGTTCTGTTCGGACTCTACAACAAGCAGGACAACAGGAAGTACCTGGAGGTCGCCGTCATGGGCAAGATCAACAAAGGTAGGCTGGAGTGGACCGGCTGGTTCTGGAGGTTCTGGAGGTTCTTCTCCTGGTTTTTATTTGGGTCTCAGAATTTAAACAGAACCAGAGGGAAGACTTCAGGTCTGGTCTCAGTATCAGGTTCTGACCCGCTTCAGTTTCTCCATCTGACTGAATGAGGTCCTGTCAGAACCATGACCGCTGGAATCGGACCTAGGACTCATAAGGGTCCACAGGTTCAGCCTGAACCTGGGCTGGTTCTGGATCCATGGACCAATGGACCTTAAGGTCTACAGAGTCCTGCAGGGTCCAGACTCACTCAGCTTCTTGTTGAGGAGCCTCTAAAGTCCACATGATGACCCGGACCAAATCCTGCAGAACCCGGGTTCGGTCCCTGATGGTTCTGAGGATGACCTGAGCTGACGGGTCCTCATTGTGGTCCCAGGGTTCTGTGGGGGGACACGGACCAGAACCAGTGCCGGTGAGGTGACTGTAGCATTAGCATCATGCTAACCTGATCCTCCAGAGGTGTTCATCTTAGTCCGATCCGGGACCCGTGGAGGTTCTGGACCGGCAAGTCTGATCCAGGACCTGTGGAGGTTCTGGACTGGCAAGTCTAATCCAGAGAGGTCCGACCTCAGAACCTCCAGAACCTCCTGAAGTTTCAGCTGCTCTTCAGCATCAGGTTAAACATCTTCCTCCTCCTCCTCTTCCTCTTCCTCCTCTTCCTCCTCCTCCTCCTCCTCCTCCTCCTCCTCCTCC